CGTGTACTATCTCAACAAAAAGGTTAAAAAACTGAAAACTTTAGCACTGAAAAACGGAAAAACTTTAGTACCACCACTACATTTTACAATGATTAATTTTTAGTTTCTCAATAGAAATATTGAGAGAAATATATATTGCCATTTACGCAACCATTTGGCTATTTGTATTAAATATGCACACATAAAAAAGATTAAAAATTGGTTATCATTTTAATTATTAAAATTTAAGTTATAATACTGCTACTATTTTTTCTTTCTTCTCCACGTTACGTACGGGGTTCGCAGATTTGGAGTGAATATTGACAACACCACTTGATGAAGCATCGAAACACACTTTATTTAGCCAATTTTAATCAGGACAGCTCCAAAATCACGTTTTACAGTCGTCGAAGACCTACTATACATTCGCTCGAACAATCAGCAACACAGCCTTCAAGTTATCAGGCTATAACGGTGGATACAGCTTCACTGCAAAGCACCAGAGTACAAATTCCGACTCTGCTCGGCCGTTCTCGGAGCTCCACGTATTGTCGACACTCTCCACGCTACAACTCGCGATGCACTCGACGACACAAGAGCAATGCTCCCGACTCTTCGGTTCAGTCTTTCCCGGAGCTCAACACATTCTCTCAAACTTCCCGGAGCTCAACACATTCTCTCGACGATGCACTAACCGCGATACACTTTCGATGCACTCGACGACCCGCTCGGCACTCGCTGTCCGGCTGTCAAGTTGATCGACTCCGCACGGACTGACTAACTCGAGACTAACTATCTCGCACTCTGACTTTCCGCGTACCAGCAGGGTTTATGTAATTTTTGGCTTGTGTTCGAGAACATTCTGGGCTAAACCGGTAAAAATTCGTTCCAGAAGGTTCTCCATCTGTCCATGGCATATCGCCAATTTTGTTGCCAAGTGCCGCCAAATGGACGATTTCTCGCCAAATGTGGAAACCCTGCCTTCCCTTGCCATTTCATGGCAACCCTGAACCTGCTTTGCGGGGAAAGCATCTTACCGCGCCTGTACATTTCGTAACAATACTTTAATTATAAGATTTAAGGCGAAATTTGAGCCTGTTTAAGCGAGATCACTTTCTTTATGTCTGGTCTTATTTCACTTAGTTTGAAACGTAAATTAGGATCTACTTTTAATTTTGTTCTGTACTTATTTTTCAAATGTAACATAGAAGCAAATCCTTATTCTCACAAATAGGTTGCTCAAAAAGATGATAAAAATTTAATAGCTTTATTTAAAATCCCTTCAAATTCTTTTTTTTTTTTTTTTTTTTTTTTTCGGTTCAGCCAAAAGTTAACAAGTGCTAACATCTTTGAAATCTTCAGTTAGAGTTCGGATCGCAGGAAATTTCTATCAGTTGTTCTTTTCCTTCACGGGATAAAATTTCAGATACATTTGAATAAAATGGATTTCTAATCCAATTTTCTTTTTCAAAATCATCGGGAAAATACATGTTGAAATTATTTATAAATGAAAAACAAGGATTTTAATGTCGGATGCTAATTCTTCTTTTATTTCCAAATTATTTTCGGTTAGAAAATTTCTATAAGTGGCGAAAAAATTAAAATATTATAATCCAATTCTTTGATTATTAGCTCGAGTTTTTTATCATTGCATTTATGTGATTTCTAATGGTAAACAAATTAACGCTTTGTCCTTGTAATCCTAAATTGAATTCAATTAACTTTCCAAAAATAGCAGCTAAATATACTAAACGGGCCAACCATAATTCATATAATTCCCAGACATAAAATTTTCAATTATTTTGAAAATTTCAATTTCAATTGCTCTGTAATAAAGATATTCACAAAATAAATATTCTTTGGCATTTCGTTTATCTTCTCCAAACGTTGTAGAGCTATTAGGTTATTTCTAAGCAGGAGAGATGAAAAATGAGCAATGCCCTCGCCGGGACTCGAATCACGGACCTCTCGAATACGCACCGAGCGGGCTGACCACTGCACCACGAAGGCATGTTATAAGGCGGAAGAAATACCTTATAAAGTATGTAAACTAATAATTGAACAAACTTCGTTATATCAATACTTTCATTCAAATGCAATGCGAAATAGTCACTGTGTTTTATTTTTTGAATAAGGGTCTCTTTTTATAGAATTTGCCATTGTATGAATTCGTCGTTTGTTAACTGAAAATTATTAGGTTCAGTAGCCGCTTTTTTGTTGAATAATGTTAAAACGATATCTTTAGCTGCTGGTAATATAAGATTTTCTCCAGTTTATGAGCCTGCGCAGTGTTAACAATTCTTAGCCTTACTAGATAAGTAATTTCCAAAGCTTTTCACTTGAAGTAACAAAAACCTTTCATTACTTATTTATTATTTTTGAACTCTGATAATTTTCTTTTAAAATATTCTTCAGATTTATCCTTTAAAATGGCTTGCTTAGATTCAACATGTCTTTTAAGAAACGATGGTTTTATACTTTGATTGGATAATAGTTCACCGCAAACAACACATTGAGGTTGAGGGTCCATTTCGAGTAAACCCAAATGATAAATGACTTTAATTATATTTTCTACAAACAATTTTTCTTTGCTTTTTAATATTCTTAGTGCTAGTAGATTGTCCTGGATCCACCATTTTTTCGCTTGGTCAGTCCTAACCATTTTTCCATTTTGAAAAATCTAGATTTGTTTTATTATTTTTAACAAATATTTAAATGCACAATATATCACGAGTTCGTCAAAAACAAATGACGATATTCTCAAATCGCGAAGAAAAGTAAGAAATACAAAGCAACAAGACAAAATACATGCTGTCTCTAGACAGTAAATCGACGTAAAAAAAAAAAAAAAAAAAAAAAAAAAAAAAAAAAAAAAAAAAAAAAAAAAAATTATTCTAATTGAAAATAGAATATTATGAGTCCGAAAATGGTGGCGAATGAAGTGTTAAACATACTATAATAAATCGATCAACTTTAAAAAATTTATGAGATACTGTTATCTTTTTACAGGAATTGATTTTTTTATTTCCTATTTTATACAACATTCATTCCTATTAATCCTTTAAAAATATCATTTATGACAAATTTTGTTATGTCTAGGACTAAAAGAATATTTGTCTTAATAAAAACGCATTATTTTGCTGAAGTCTATGGGCAAATACTGACCTTCACCAAAGCTCAGACTGCATAAATTTACGAGTGTTAGAGAAAAAAACTTAAACAGGATGTTGCGGTATTTAAGAATACGTTGTTTCGTTACGTGCCACCAAGTTTTTTCTTGCGTGCCACCAGTGGTACTCGTACCGCCGGTTGTGAATTGATGAATTAAATGCCAGTCAAATGCTCAATAAAATACAGTTTTCAATAAAAAGAAGTAAGCATTATACGATGTTGCCGCTATTAAGTTGGTATAGATTTAGAAAAAACAGTTTTTTATATTGCTATGTTGGTATAGATTTCGAAAAAACAGTTTTCACACATGGCCTTTACGACTAATAAAATATATTCCAAAATTTCTTATTACAGTCCTTTCTATTGATTAAAACAATAAATTAGATTTCATTTACGAATAATCAACCGCAAGTGATACTTTACTTAAAACTTGTTGCTATTTTAAACATGAAATGATCAGGAGTTTATGAGCTTGTCATATCAGAATTTTTTAATGAAATGTTTCTCGAAAAAATATTAATCAGTTACTTAATCTGATTTGATTATAGCTTCGAGTATTGATTAAAAAAGTAGCATGATTAAACAGCATTCAGCATAGAGCAAAAAGGAAATTAGAAGCATTTGATTAAAAAGAAATTAGCAAATTCTAATGTAACGAATGAATTTAAATGGAATTCAAACAAGCCAACACAAAATTTAAAATTAGACGAAAAAAAAAAAAAGTTTTCAGATTTTAAATTACGTCCAAAGGGACATTTTTTAACATTTTGTGTGTTAACTTTATTTATTAAATATCATGTTCTTCGCATTTAACCATAAAATTCAGTTCAAGAGCAATATCGCAAAATAATTCTAAATTGAGTGTTTCTTTAGAATTTCCGATACGCAGTCTCATGCGCTGGAGATAAAAATGTTTTTTTCTGTACAACGTTGCCATTTCTCGCTTTGAAATCCTTGAGTTTGTTAATCAAAAATTCGTTAAAGATTTACAAACTAGGAATCGATCATAAAACAAATTCGAAATTTCAAATTTGGGCTTTCAGATGCCCATATTCGCAGTAGGATTACGTCAGTCAAAATTGGATGGCTCTAGGCACCGTTGTTTTATCACAATGCGAGAAACATACACACATTTGTGAAGATTCTTCATTATTTAATTTCTTCAAATATAATACAGAGCGATAATATTTGGTGGCAATGGTTTGAAAAGTGATACAGCCATTTATAGTGTTTCAACGCAAAATCGCAAAACGAAAACAACAGTCCCTCAGGAATAAAGCCTCTTTGGAGTGAAAAAAATTGCAACCTCAATTTGGCGTAGATTTCGCATAAAAATTTGTATCGATTTTGAAGGCGATTTGCACAATGAAAATGCGCTAAACTAAGGTTTGCTTTTTTTGCTTAGTTTTTAAAAGTAACAAATGATATAACAGATGAAGGCCTGGTCATCTAACTGTACTTTTTTCTCATCTAGTAGGTCTACAGCATGAAGTTGACAAAGCTATTGATTTAGGTGTTTGTGTGTGCGTGGGGGGGGGGAGGGCGACTGTAATGTAATGGACATCGAAATAAATGTGTAGCTTTTGCTCCAGGTAAAATAAGCAGCGGGGAGAGAAGGGAGGGGCGAGCAGACCGTTTTTATCAATCGTGAATAAGAAGATAATTTAGATAGAGGAGAAAAAAGGGGCCTTTAAGCAATATTTTCCCGTTTTTGATTCGGAGAAAAAAGTGCGAAAGTGGTCGATCGGTCGCATCGGGTCCCGGGGCGCATTCCGTAGGGGAGGGCGCGCCCCAGTGACCCCGAACATCCTCCAGGAGGACGGCCAAGGTCGTTGACTCTGCATTCGCGCAAAAAACCAGCTCCAGAGTCGACAGTTGATTTCGAGTCGTCGTTCGGTCGGGTTTCTTTCTTCGAGTTCTGCTTCCTGGTTGGGGAACGGAGTTGTTTTGCGACTCATGCCAGCGAGAAGACGGTGAGACAGGTAAGCATGAGCCCCCTCTGTTTCTTTTGGTACTCGCCGACGGAGTTCCGACACTTGCGCAATTGAGGAACAATGAAAGGTTAAGTTCTATAGGGATAAAATGCGACGAAGACATAATATATCTGAAGCGTTTATTTTATTTCTCAGTAATGATTTAGAAATTTAGATTTTGCATAAACTGTAATTCCGAAACACTGAGAAATATACTTTCACAGATTACAAATTTTGTAACTGTTTAACAGGATGAAATGTGATGAAGACCTAATAGAGCTAAAATGTTTAGTACTAAATATATATTTCTGATACATAATTACGCGCTTTTAATGAGTCTCCTAAATTACACTTATATTTATATCTGTTTAAAGAGTCTGCACTGGATACGAGTTTATTTTGTCCTTGCGCATCTTATTTATTAATTTTTGTTTCGACAATGATTTAGAAATTTTGACGTTGCGATTAAAACGATTAAAACGATTAAAAATTTGACCGTGAAACTCTTGGCAATTAACTTTTCATAGATTATGATTTTTGTGTTTGTTATTAAGATAGAATGTGATAAAGATATAATAGATTTAAAACGATTAGATAGGTACATCTGACACCTGATTACATTTTCAATGCGTGTTTAATCAGTATCTAAACGAAAGTTATATTTATTTCTCATCAAAGCGTCTTGTATTAGATGTGAAGCAATATTACTCCTAAGCATTTTATTTATTTATTTTTTGGTAGACTGTGCTTTATGAAGCAATGGAGAGTAATTTTGCCCAGATTATCAGTTTTGAGCTCACAGATTTTTGTAAGCAAAATAATAACTTTTTGTAAAAAGTGAATATCTGTTTCTGTATAATATACTCAAACAATTTATACATTTGATAGAATCTGATTTAAGCACCGTTGATACAAGCAGCTCGCTATTAATTTAAAAAAAAAAAAAAAAAAAAAAAAAAAAAAAAAAAAAAAAAAAAACTTTTGAGCTATTTTAAGGTTATTCAAAAATTATATTTATTTAGTTGTAGTTTTAATAACAGAAAAGATATAGGATCTTTCGTTATATTTCGCGTTCTTCAAGTTAAGCTATTCAAATCCAACTGAAAATCAATTTGCAGGAGCTAATGTTAAAGGAAGTATACAGCTCCGCGCAAAGAGTTTATATGAAATTTAAAATGTTCATTGCTATAATATTAAAGGTATATAAATACGGTAACAATTAAGCAATTTTTGGTATGGTGGTATGGTAATATTTATAGAATATTATTTATTCATTTAACTATTAACCATTTTATTCATATCAATATTATTAACACAGTTCTATATCATAATTGGTTTATATTAAATTTATACTATAATAAAAATAATGAGTATACAATGTCTTTTGAAATAGAAGTATTTGCAGAATATCTAGTCCACATTATTTATTTTAACATAAATATATTATTTTACTATAATGTTAATATTTCTAAGAATTTTTTACATATGTAAATAATTTTAGTGAAATTATATATATGTGAAATTGTAGTTTTTTTTTTTTTTATACGTGTAACATAAAAATCTGAAGAGGCGAATTTTCCCCAGAAAAACAGAAAAATAAGAAAACAGAGGCAGGTCTATTTAATGCCGAGTAAATGGCTTTCTTGCTAAATTGCGAGATAATGTCATACTAAAAATGACTTCGGTTTCGGCGACTAATTTCCGTTGCCAACTTTGGCGGAAAAACGCCAAAAGTCGCCAAACGTGGTAAATATTTGGCAACATTTGGGTCCGGTCCATGTATAACTGTAACTGATATTGTGATTGAATAAATGTAGTTAATCTAAATATGAAAATGTAACCGTTTCCTGCCCTTAGATGTAACTTTAAAGCTATATACCTTCCAGTCATTTCGAAAAATGGAATTTACTAGAGATTTTTTGTTGGCCGGATAAAAACTAAAAAAAGACCGAAGAGAGCATCTGCTTTCAGTTGTTAGTTGAGTTGAATTCGGAATATTGAGATACCCGTATGACCTTTGCTCTTTAGATGCGCTTTGCTTTGCGTTGTGTTTAACGTCCTTAGTAGTTTCCTCAGTAGTAGTCCTTAGTAGTTGTGTTTAACGTCCTTAGTAGTGTAACTACTGATTGTTCTCTGTGATACTGTGAAGAGCTATATGAGTATTTCTGTGGAAAGTTGTAAAACTGTGAAGTGTTTCTTTTGGTAAGGTAGATTTATCAGTTATCATCGATTCTGTGTGCATTCAGTCTATTACGAAACCTTAGGCAAGCAACAATTACTGTTACTTCATTATTACAAAGTATACTAACTTGGTTATACGAGATGTATACTAAGATGTTCTAAGATGATAATACATGATTTTTCAATGTGGTAATAATATTTATATAATGTCTGCTTTATTTTATTTCATTTTTCTTTTTTCTCCTTCGCCCGTCCGACCATCACTAAAATATTCACATAAGTATTCCTATAAAGACTTCCCTTTAGATAGAAAGAAATTTAAATTATGGGTAATTAGCTTAACTTACTATTTTTTGCTTTTGAAAACCATTACCGTAAATTACATTTACTATAAAACAGAGTTAGTATTACAGTCGACTATTTCTGAAAATTATTATAGTTATTATTATTTTACTAATCTTCTTAGGTTACTGTAAGTTTACAGAGTTATTATGTATTTTTGAAGCAGAAGAGGTGAAAAATAAGCACTGCTCTCGCAAGCCCGGACCTCTCGAATACGGCAAAGTGTCCTACCGTTGCACCACGAAGACATGCGGAAATGAGGGAGAAAATACCTTATAAGTTTAGTAAAGGAAAGAATTGCTATATTTTTATATAAGTTAATTCTACTTATTTTTCTAAGCAATCCGGGAAACTGAAAAAATGAAGGAACGTTTTAAACGTTTAAGCTTAAGTCAGAAACTATTTCACTGGCAATTCACTGTAGTAACTTACTTTAGGTTTGCGATTGTTCAAGGGCAAGCAAAAATTGCTTTATGAGCTGGGAAAGCAGATAAATCAAAAATGTTTTCCAAGTTTCCTTGTTCCTGAAAAATCTTTTGAGCTTGATAAGAAAATATTTTTTAAGCATGAACTATAAAGTGGTATTCCTCGAAAACATTCCTGAAGAAAACAACGCAAAGTGAAAACAACAACGTCATGAGAGAAAAGATAGTAAGGAACAAGCTTCATATATCTAAAACATCGTGGCAGAAAATAAAGCGGTTTGCCAGGCTATACCTAGCTTTAATGTTTCTTGATTTACCGATTTCAATGTTTAAATTAACATTTTGCTTTTCTGCAAAAAAATTAGTAGTTAAAATGAAATGAATGCAATCAATGCAATGAAGAAGATAATAATTACGTGCAGACAGAAATACAGAGGATATTAATTATGTAATTATGCACAAATGTAATAATGTTATTCACTTCTTCTTGTGTTCATAAATTATTACGCTAAAATTCACATAATTTTTTTTAGTTAAAAATGCATATCCGCAATGTAATCATCATGCGATAACTCTTAGGTGTCTACGTTTTTATTAGGATATTTTATATGACGTTTTAAATCTGCGGAGCTTTTGCGCAGCTTTATTTTCTACTGCGATTTTTTAGAGCTGCGATGTTTTCTTGCTTTCTTTTTTTCCACATATGGCAACGTTCTCCTCTTGCGTTATTTTCCCCGCGTCGTTTTCGTCCGTCATGTTTTTGTCCCGATGTTTTCAACTGTAACATAGGAAATAGTTGACAGGCAGAGAAAGTAATATCTTGACTGAATTTAAATAGCTAACAAAAATTCTGATCCGTAAGATAATTTTCAAAGTTATGAAATATAATGTGCAATTAATAGAATGACAGAGAAATAAAATCTGCAGTGAAAGCAACTTTACACGTTCTGGTTTCATAATAGCTTAGTAAATATGAGCGAAAGTTAAAAGGTAACCTTTGTTTGATGAAAAGATAACAGAATTGTTAGTAGTCAGGTATACTTAAATGTGATGCTTCAACCCTAATGTGTTACTTAATCTTTTTGGTCATTAGGTATTTTCTCCCTCTTCTTCGAATGTCTTCGTGGTGCAATTGGAAAAACAATCGACGCGTGTAATGGCTTCGTGGTTCAATAAGGCACCATTTAACAATACAAAACGTTTATTAATATAACATTTAAAGAATAGTAGTGAACTCAGAGCAGTACGTCGCTCCTACATTTACAGCACCTTCCTCTTCTGAAGCTAACATTCAGCTCTCCTAAAACACAGCAACCCATCTTGGAGAAGAAGCTACATGCGCCAAACGCACTTTGTTGATCTCCAAACAGTCGCCAGATACTACAACGCGTACTCGAAAGGTACAGGGTTCGAGTCCGGCGATGGACTGCAAATTTTTCACCTGTTTAATTAAAAAAGAACGTAATGACTGTTAACGTTAATTCCGCCTGAACTACTTTTTTTTTCTGTTGAAACCGTAATGGCGCCCGAACTAAAAGATAGTATACTATAATTCGTCACCACCAGGATTTTGAGATTGGGTCCCCTAATCCCCACTCGCCCTTTGAAAGGGGGGTTAAGGGGGATTACATAAGGTATTTTCTGCATCCTTCTTCCTTTTCGCATGCTTTCGTGATGTAATTGGAAGCATACTCAACTCGTATTCAAGAGGTCCAGGGTTCGAATCCCGGCGAGGGCATGGCACATTTTTCACTTCTCCAACATAAAAGAAAACTAATGACTGTGATGAAGCATATGACGTGAGCAGACATTATCGAAGATGAGCCCCCATTTAGAAGCCTGCACGAAGATAAAAGCAAGTACTGTTTTCATAGTTTGTGAAAGTGAAATAAATTGCTGAGATTTATTGGAGGATAAACACAAAGTATTAGAAATGCCATGTATTGGATTCAACAGCTTCCGTTAGTGGATCTTGCAAGCGGGCAGTCGGTGGTAAGACTATAAGGTATTTCTCCCGCCTCCCTAGCATGCCTTCGTGGTGTGATGGTCTGCACGGTCGGC